GGCGGTGGAGTTGGGGTCGGGAAGGGCTGACCAGGACAATGTGGAACGCAGGTCCCCCATAGACCGCCGCAACTGTTCGTCATGAAATCTAGACATAAAGTGGGGCAGCTTGTAGTTGTAGCTGAAGTTGTAGTCTGGGTAGAAGTGGTACATGGTGGTGGAGTCGGAGTGGGAAAAGGTTCTCCAGGGCAGTGTGGAACGCAAGTTCCCCATAGACCGCCACAGCTATTCGTCATGAAGTCTAAGCATAGGGTCGGACAACTCGTAGTCGTAGCTGAGGTAGTGGTTGGAGTGGAAGTACACGGCGGAGGCGTGGGAGTAGGGAAAGGGTCACCAGGACAATGAGGCACGCATGTTCCCCAAAGCCCTCCGCAGCTATTTGTCATGAAATCCAGACATAGGGTCGGGCAACTTGAAGTTGAACTCGAGGTTGGAGTTGAAGTACATGGCGGTGGGGTAGGCGTAGGAAAGGGCTCACCGGGGCAATGTGGGACGCATGTTCCCCAAAGCCCACCGCAGCTATTCGTCATGAAATCCAAACATAGGGTAGGACAGCTCGTAGTCGTAGCCGAAGTCGTAGTTTGAGTAGAAGTAGTACAAGGCGGTGGGGTTGGCAAAGGTTCGCTGGGACAATGCGGGACACAAGTTCCCCAGAGCCCACCACAGCTATTGGGGACAAAGTCGATGCATAAAGTCGGACAACTTGTAGTCGAGGATGTTGTAGTCGTACATGGTGGAGGAGTGAATGTTGGAATAGAGTCTCCAGTGCAACTTGGGATGCAAGTTTGCCAGGTGCCTCCACAGGCTGTATTCGGGAAGTCGATACAGCGGATTGGGCAGTCCGTGGTTGTAGTTGGAATCGCCGCTCTTTCCTGGATATTTTGACGATATCGATAGTCGACTATGGCGGAGGCGGGACTGGCCATACAGACCAGCGCCGTAACGAGCGACGCTATCTTGAATTTCGAGATGCTGTTCATTTTGATATATATCAATCGAAAGCCGGTTGCTTTCACATTAGCTAATTGAAATAATCAATTGAAATGCTCATAGGATAGGCGAAATGCAAAACGAATGTAGATATGATATTCTCAGCTAAAGCGAATGAATAGACGGTATGCCGGCGGGGTCTGATATGCAACCATAACTTTCCAGTAACATTGATATCATGGTCATGGCGCCGGCCGCACCTGGGGATTTTATATAGACGCCGCAGCTGCAATTGCAACGCTATAAGGTAAGGATTTCAAAAAATCGGAATTGAATTTTGGTATGCATGCGCCAAATGCATACCACTGACTATATCCTCTGCAACCACACCCAAAAAAGGCATAGTTCCAATACTATCGCCCGCGGGGGAACGTTATAAACAGGGTCCGCTCCTGCACTGCAGCGTGGTACCGGTCTGGTCTGGGGAAGCTTAGGTACCCGTCGCCGTTTGATAATCCGTCCAAACCTGCTTTCGTCGGGCCAAGCCAAATTCTCGTCTATTTTTCCCGCGTGTGGACTTTGTGTTACGTGATAACTGTTTTCAATCGTTAGTATCTTTTCTGGCCAGGGGGTTTAATCTTGTGCATCTGATAATGAGGGCCACCTTTTTGTGCAGATATCCTCCTTGTGAAGAGGGAAGGATATTCTGTGAGTATATCGGGCTCTTGGTTTTTCGAAAATTTCCTCTTGGCTAGCATTCTGAAGTAACCCTCCTGCAGCGATACTTGATCTCGTGAATATTAAAGCTATATATAGATATTGTTGGAGAGCTGATCCTTGTCCCGTTACTAGTATCGTCGAGGCTGCTTGTCGGAACCTACTGTGGCGTGAAGAAAGGATTAGAAGCATAGAGCTCAGCTCCAGAAGCCGGCCTCGAGGACTAAGCTATTATAAGCTGCAAGGATAGCGGGGTCGGGTTGAATTAAGGTGCTTTGTTGCATTCTCGAATTCCAACACGTCTTGGGACCTTCTATTTTTACAAATCTATTTCGACTTCCGCACCTCGATTGGTCCAATACTCTTGTGGTATCATGAGATATCTAGATAACACGAGGGTGATAGGTTAGAACCACGCGCAGGATATTACAAGATACTATCTAAAATTAGCCAGCTGGATTGTACTATCGTGTTAAGCTAATGTTATACGGTGACGCAAAACCTTTGGAGCAGCACATATGCGCAATTTGGCCTCGAGACTAATAAGTAGATACCTAGGCCGGGAAGCCGGATATCAAACGATTCAGCAGGGAAATCGAACTCAAATTGTAGAGTCTGGCAGTAGCGGCTGCGAGCTTTAACATGTAGGAGTCAAAACCAATTTACGAATTTGAACATAAATGCGGGGGCCCTCGCCGACCTTTCGGCCTGGAAGAGCGCGGCGGTCCTAGAAAGCGACCCCAGTAAAAATTAAAAGTATCTCGACGAGATCGAGAGCTAGAGCAATAAGGCTCTACCAAACATTATATTAGAAACGACTTGAAAAAGATTCGCGAAGGGGTGAACATTACAATTAATGTGTAGGAAGCGACGATGTTACTCTCCCAGAGAGTGTAGATATTGCACACTTTAAAGGATATCTCGGCGCCTTGCAAAGAGAGTATACGGATCGTTGGGTAGTAGCACTATATATATGTTACTTAGATATTAAGGTTACTAAATATCGATGCTTATAGTGCGCAATTGCAACTTCGTTCAAATCGATATCGACCGGCGGGTACACCTATCGCTCGTATGTGGTTGGACATAGGAGTACATAGTAAGATTACAGCATGGATAGTATGAATATATAGGGCGGTTACTGAAATATCAATAGCACGGGACAATGGTAGCTACTACAAAACGTGGGGTGTGGGGAACTGGTCTCGAGGAGGGGCTCTTGCGGTACCTGTGGCTGGTGGCCCACTGTGGCTGGTGCAGTCGCGCCAAGCTTTATCCCACGGGGCGCCGCCAAGCCCTGTCGCAGAAACTCCAAATTTTTTTTTTCCCAATCCAAACCAAGAGACCTTCAACCACATTTTCGACATCGACGTCTCAGGAACTAGTCTACACAGCTGACCTACATTAAAAAATGACGACGTCAGGACCCGCTGCATACGAAGAGGCTCAGGTACATTTACTTATACTTTCCCATCGCGATCAATTGCTAATTACCTTGATAATGTTAGGCCGCCAAAGCCGTCGCCGCTCTCAAAGCCCATCTGGCGACGAAGAAGACAGCAGCTCCCAAAGCCGCTCTATTCGACGATGCCGACGAGTCCGACCTGGAAGACGGTACCGTCGGTGTCGCCGATCCAGACCTTGCATTATGGTTGATTGTTACCGCGAAGAAATTCTTCACTCAGGATAAGAAGCCCAAGCAGGAGCGAGTGTACGGTACCCTCTAACCCCCCCATTCATCGCTCCCACTAATACCTATTATAATATCGCATCAGTGTCCTACCAAATCCATACCTCACTTCCCCATCGCCCACCTTCACAGTCTGTCTGATCACAAAAGATCCATCGACCTACTACCGCTCTCTGATCCAGCACCTCCCCTACCACCCATCTTCGATCACTGTCATCGCCCCATCAAAGCTAAAAACCAACTACAAAACCTTCGAATCCCGCCGTCAACTCGAGCGTTCCCACGATATCTTCCTTGCAGATGACAGGGTAATCCCACTTCTCCCATCTCTACTCGGAAAGTCGATCTACCGTCGCTCCGCAAAGGTCCCAATCCCCATTCGTATTTCCAAAATCGAACCGCCAGCAAAGGACACCGAGGCTCCAAAGTCAAAGCTAGAATCCGATGCAGAGAAATTAAAGAAGGAGATCGAGAAGGCCGTGGCTGGTACATACTTCGTCCTCGCCGCGTCGTCCTCGCAGACCATCAAAGTCGGGATTAGAGCACAGTCCGCGGAAGAGGTGGCGCAGAATGTTACAGCTGTGATGGAGCATTTGACTTCTAATGTTCTAAAATCTGGTTGGAATGGAGTTAGAGCCGTTCATCTGAAGGCTGCGGAAACTGTTGCGCTTCCTGTGTACCTTGCCGAACGTATATACGATGATGAGGACGTGTTGACCGAGGAAGAGATTAAGAGAATCGAACACCTGAAGACCAAGGAGGGCAGGGAGGAGAGAGAGAAGGAGTTGAAGGAGAAGAAGGCTGAGAAGAAGAAGGGTAGAGAGGAGAGGCAGAAGGGCAAGAGGAATTGGGACAGTGATGCCGAGGATGGGGAGGATCAGTATTTCGTGAAGAAGATAAAGCCTGCTGCAGAGGATGGGAAAAATAAGAAGAGAAAGGCTGAAAGCGAAGTCGAAGCTCCTGGGAGTGCGAAAAAGTCGAAAGCTGGGGAGAAGGCGGCCGCAACTAAAGAGAATGACGATGAAGAAGATGAAGAAGATGGAGGAGTCAAGTTACCACAAACCGTCGATCTGTCGGAACAGGCTAAGAGGTTAAAAATCGGTGACAAGAGAATCGCCCCGCCGGCGCTGGCACTAAAAGAGAAGAAGGGCAAGAAGGAAACCAAGGCCAAAAGCGATACTGGTAAAGTCGGAATGAGGGAGAAGTTGAAGAGGAAGGCGAAGACAGACGCTGCTGCGAATGCTGCTGCGGCGAAGGGGAAGAAGACCAAGGCGTACCAGTAAACCATATGACACGGTTGCATTGGAATTTAATGTCGCACGCTCTGTTTGAGATATCGATATGGCGGTTCTGACGGGTTTTCGTATTTTTCTTTGGAGTTTTAGAGAAAAGTGTCGTCTAGTTTTACATGTATAATAGCCTCTACGCTGTCTGATATATACAGGTTTATACCGAATGATATGAATGCTGGTTTCTTACCACCGACGTCTCTCTCTACTTCACCATCTAATTATAAATGTCTCCTTCAAACACAAAAACAATACATATACATGCGATCATTAGAAAAGCAGATTTCCCCTGCGAATATCATCCAAACTGATAAAAAAATAAATAAAAAGAGAATGAGAAATCTCGAACCTAGAAGGCAATGGATAAACGCTGATGCGCTAGCTGGGAATCGAACCCAGGGCCCATCGATGGCAACGATGGATTTTACCACTAAACCACTAGCGCCTTTTGAAGGCGAGATTTCTCGGCTGGTGATGGAGGACGACGGTAGGTAACGGGGTATATAGACCTTGGTTGTCATGAAACTCCCGTGTCCCTCTGTAACTACCCCAAATCCAGGCCCTAAATATTGTCTATTGTGTGCTCTTGGGCTTTCATCGTCTCGGGTTCACTCTGAGAAGGGATATTAGGTGAGAATGGCGAGGTCACGTGCCCAGGTATAAGCCTAAATCCGGAAGGCGAAGGTTCGTCGCTCTCGACGGAAGATCCCTGTCAGTGCGACCTAACAACCGGGTTGAGCACTGATTCATCAGCATCACCAAGGCCCGCCGTTACACCGTCTCATATTAATTCAATCCTTCGAATTGGGTGTCTCGAACTTCTCTCGGGAATCCGCCGATAGTCTCTTCCGTAAAGTAAATTTGCGCTCTCTGTTTGTGTATTGTTTGTTACGATAGTATACGAGGAACGGGAGTGTTTGGATGCATTGGGACTCGCGTTTTCGTCAGACATCTGTTTAAATAACGTTAAGGCTCGCCAATCGCATTCTTCCAGAACACCACACCGTCGACGTTCCTGAAGCCTTCCCGGCGCTGTCGCAAGCGCATTCGTAAGCTTTCTAACAGCGCTTTACCACCAACGGCTGTATGCGGATGCGGGGGAGTTCTATAAAGCCCGGATAATTGTACTCGGACATTCTGTGGGAGAAAGGGGATTATGCGCCAATAGTTCTCGCGCGCTAGTAACATCCTCGTCAGCCGTCAGCTCGTCAATCTTGTAATCCATAATTCTTTTAATATCGATATTTACGGACAAAAAAAAAAAGAAAAGACGTCAACGATGGTTCGGAGGACGGCTTCTTTGTGTGTATTGCTAGGCGGTACATTGGCTTCGCTCGCTGGAGCTGTGGAGCCGCTACCGCTGGTTATTTGGCATGGATTGGGTACGTCGGCACATATATATTATAATATCTTATTTGGTATGAAATAGGGCGATTGACTAAAATAATATAGGTGATACATACGACAGCCCCGGCCTGCAATCCGTCGCCGACCTCTACACTTCGATCTACCCCGGTGCGTCAACGCACATAATCCACCTAGCCGACGATGGCGGCGGTGACCGTAAAGCCAGCTACTTCGGCTCCCTCCCCGCGCAGATGGAAACCGTCTGCGACCAACTCTCCGCGAACACGAATCTAACGACAGCACCGCACGGTTTCCACGCCCTCGGTTTCTCGCAAGGTGGATTGTTCATGCGCGGCTACATCGAAGCTTGTAGTTTCCCCCAGGTTCATACGTTGGTCACCTTCGGTAGCCCGCATAACGGTATCAGCGAGTTCGTGAAGTGTAAAACTACGGACTGGCTCTGTCGTACCGCGTTCGGATGGTTGAATGCGAATAAGTGGAGTGGGTGGGTGCAATCCAACGTCGTGCCGGCACAGTACTACCGTCATCCCAGCACAGAGGAAATGGAGAAATACCTCGACTCTTCCGGTTTCCTGGCGGATATTAATAACGAACGGGATGAGAAGAATGAGAGGTACAAAGAGAGACTGGGTGGTTTGGAAGGTGGGTTGGTAATGTATAAGTTTGATGAGGATCAGGTGATTATTCCCAAGGAGAGCGTGTGGTTTGCGGAAGTTGTTGAGGATGGGGAGATTACGTGGTTGACGGATAGGGCGTTGTATAAAGAGGATTGGATTGGGCTGAAGAAATTGGATGCGGAGGGGAAGTTGAAGTTTTTGAAGACGGGTGGGCAGCATGTGAGTTGTTTTAAACCCTTGAAGTACACATTTGGTCTCAATACTAACGGGTTCGGTGTTTGTAGATGCATATAACAGACGAACTACTGAAGGAGGTATACACAAAATATTTATGGCAACCGGAAGGAGTCGTGGCACAAGAGGTGGATGGGAAACGGTTCAATGAGAGACTGATGACGTTGGCTGAACCGCCCATTCCTCGCGATGAGGGGAGAAAACATAATGGAGATAATCAAGAGCCTTTATTGAGGGTGCAGAACTAAATAACTTGGCTATAGAGGGTTTACTTTCCAGATATATGCATTTTAGTTTATTCCGTTTTCTACCAAGTACGAGGCTAGCTTTCCAGCGGAGCAGGTTATTCTTTCCAATTACAGCTGGTCAACGATGAAAGTTTCTTCGAAGTTAAGTGCATATGAATGTCGGAGGGGTTCAATTCAGGAGATGACTTGGTAGTTAAAACTATATGATGGAAACACTCTAGATCGAAACGGGTAGAGGGAAAAAAGAGAAACAGAGAAAAAAGGAGGAAATTTGGGATGGAAAATTAAAAAGGTCCGCGGGAAAGCTCTCTATGAGAAGCCATGGGGCCCCTTAGTCCATTCAGTTTCTTTCACGCCGTTCCACACAATATTTGGGCCACCCTTCACTCTAGGCCAAGATAATTTGGATAGATGTTCGACCACCTTCTCAAATTTGACTCCTTCCGAAAGGAACGCCGCCAGCATGCCTACGATGGTCGCACCAGCTGTAATATATCCTAATCAGTTATGTTCATCGTTGGAATCGAGCGCCACCCATCTTAATGTAAGGAGGGTACCAGGACTGTTTTTGAGACTTACCAAAAGCTACGCCAGAAACCGGCGTGTAGCCTTCCCGGCCATGTACGTCATACGCCATAACATGGACGGCCTCGCCAGGGGCCCAAGCTCTGATACGAACGGTTTTGCCGGGGCGGTCATCAAACATCTTCTGATTCTCGTGGTCTGATGCGCCTACTGGTATCACTACATGTGGGTATTGCTCCGCCTCGCTTGTTGGGGATAAATACTCTCCCGGTTTCTATTGAGATCCAAAAAGTGGCGTTAGTAGTTCCGCTGTTTACAATATGCGTATGCGCGCATGGAGCGGTTAAGGGTATATATTACCCTCATCAATTTATTAGTCCCAGTAGTAGTCACAACTATAATTCCGCCTCTCAAATGCATAGCATGAATAATTTGCAAAGATAACCACCTTACCAAGGCGTTAGTTCCCAGGACTTGGTCCGGTGGCTCGTAGACATTCGCGAATAAGTCGTTCTCTGGCTGAACTTGGTCGTAAAACCACGGGCAGTATATTATAGCCTCTCTGGTGCCGCTTGATAAGATGCTGTCGTAAGTTTTGAACATGGCGTTAAAGAGGTGGGCGGTTGTATAGTATCCATGGATGTTGTAGTGTTGTACGAATGTTACTTTGGCCTTCGGAGCTTGGCCGATTCGAGGGAAAGCGATGAGGCTATAAATACCTGTGCCATGGTAGCTTTTGATGTCGGTAGGGGTTTCGGCGGGGTCCTGGGCCAATTCATACCAATTAGGATTTGAGTCTAATGCATATACCGTACGTCATATATAACCAAGAAGGAGAAAGAGAAACGGGAGTACTTACTGGGCCTGCGAAAATAATCCTTTTCACTGTATCAAAGACCCTTATTTCTAATAACTTCTGAAAAACGTTGTGAAGAGGGATCGTTAGGACTTCATGCGCATCCGCAACAATCGCATACGTATGGGACAGGGTAACTCACATGCTTGAGGTCCAACCCGGTACCAATGATATATATATTGACTCCAGCACCAAGTGCCTTCTCCCTTTCTGACCGGTAGTAATACCGATTCCCGAGAGCTTTCATTGGCATACTAGGTGGCTGACATAATTTTCTTCTCTCTTGCCAGGCTTCACGGCGTACAGTGATCGGGTAGCGTCCCCAGCTTCCAGGTTGGTGGTCATCATACTCCAGCGCATCGCGACGTGTCGGCTTGGAGGTATAATTACCGTAGAAACTAGTCCTTTCATTCGTATTTAGTTCTTTGACTTCATCTCTTTCTTCCACTAGGTCCCCGAATAGATTGAACCCGGGCCCGTCGGGCCTCATGTACATAGTGGCGTTTGCAGTCCTAGATAGCCACCTCTTGAGGGGATCAACTGCGGTAGTAGGGACATCCTCCAACTTGGGATCGCTACCTCGCTTTACTGCTGGCTTTTTTGGAGAGTTTTTCTTAGGCTTTTCCTCGGTCTTTTTGTTGGCCTTTTTTTTAGGGGGGTTTGGATTCGCATTGATCATCTGTTTAGCACTGTATGGGACTTCCCCCCATCCAGCCAGCTATATCACGCATAAAAGAGGGAAAAGATTTAGCGCATACCCCAGCGAACCCTTCAAACATAAGACCCGGTAAAAGCAAAAAACCCACCTGCTTCTTGAACTTTTTATAAACCTTTCCCATCGTCGCTAAATTACACTGCGGGTTCATAGCTGTCTTGAAGACAATAAAGGGAGTCCCCAGGTGCGGGCTCACGTACGCATCCGCTCCGATGAAGCCGGAATGTTTTTCATGGTTGCAGTGTCCCAGCTCCATAATCAGCTGTTTTTTGAACTTTGCATCTTTCCAGTATTCTCGTTTGATTACGAACCACCAGAGACGGACATCTTTGCCAATCAGCTCTGACGAGGATTTGGGGGGGAGGAAGAGGGCGAGAAGGAGGATTGGGAGGAGATTGAAGAGAGTGGAGATGGTGTGGGAGCGCATTTTTCTTTTTCTTTTTCTGTTGTTTTGTCTGCTACCCTTGTGGAAAGGCTTTTGCTTTGATTTTTTTTTCTTTCATGGGGCCATGCATATGCATGAAGGTGTCGATGTAAATTCAATCTACGTACAAATGTTAAATGGGTGACATATTATATGCCATAGGCCTGGACAGGAGTATGGCATGCTCAAGGCTGGGTATATATAGGGCTATGGAACCGAGATGCGTTACTTTTTTTTTAGAAACAAAGGCAATGATGTAGAAGCTTTAACCCTCGATCCTAACGTTGACCATTGAGGCGAGGCAAAGCATTCGATATGTATATATTTATAAAACAGCTACAGGAATCGATAAGTTTCAGAACTTGTGGGGGGGTTAATTCTTTCCCCGCAACGTTAACATAATTTATAGCAGGTGTATGAATGCGCCTATTTTTGATAGGAGTGTGGGACAATGTATC